GTTTGTAGTACACTCAATAGCATTTAATGCTGAGTGCACAGTTAAAATATTTGTTGGCAATTTTGGTAGCTGTTCACTGCGAGCTCGATATAAATTATTATTTATATAGCGGATATTGGTAATTGTTAATGTATTTTTAACACTGACATCAATACTTTCTTTTAAATATCGATGCATTAGTTTAGCTGGTCTTTCATATAACTCTTGTGTACCTTTTCGTTTAAGTAAATTACTTGCCGATTTATAATCGCTTCAGATAGTGCATAGTGGTTGTAGCCACGAGGACTCCCGGGTTTGGTACCTTGCGGCTACAACCGCAGACCTCACATTAGCGCTGTGCGCTAGTCGAGAGCCGCGGAGGTTCACGGTAGGACTGCGCGATTATTTTTTTCCCCACAATAATCGAATATTAGTTAAATGTTCGATTATAATCGATTAATCGAATAATCTGATAGTATTACGATTTTTATCCGAAATGACGAATAATCGAATAATCGAACACTCGAATAATCGAATAATCGAATAATCATACTTATACTACACAATATATTAGTGTTCTAATAATAATAATTTACCAATATTAGTAATCAAATAAATAGTCTGGTTTAAACGATTTATTCATAAAAACATAAAATAAAATAATATTTAAAACACTGGTTTAGCTATATAGTCCTTATTCATAGTTAAAAAAATAAGCTGACTGGCATGTTCGTTAGTTAACGATGATCTATGATCAGTTAATATACATCCCCCTTTACTAATAATAAGTTCAGACGCTACGCTTGTAGCTTGAATGGTCATAACTTTTTTTGCTGTAACGAACATAATATGATAAGTTGTCTTGTTTATGTTCCACCAATCTAGTGGATCTTGTCAACACCAATTTTTGGATTGTTAATGTATAAGTCCAATTCATTTTTTATTTTTTGGCTTAATGGAACTTCCTACAATGATAAAATTAAAAAGTAGTAACAATGAAGTAAAATAATTTATCTTCAAATTCTTACTTGAAATTATCCATATTATTATTTTCAGGAGTACCAAAAATTACAGACAATCCAGTTTTTGGTTTTTTTTGTGGTGCCAGTTGATAAGAAATATTGTTGACGTAACTATCACTTTCGATACGCTCGTATGTTGTTTCACAAAATTCAGCGATGGTTTTCTTTAAAACCGATAAATCATTATACTTAATGTACTCGATTTTGAACCTAGGATCCAATACAGTACACATATTCAGTAATGCGTTATCTTGATAGCGTTGATCTAGAAACTCAATAATAGTTGTATACATGTTTTTAATTTGTCCTCCATTGATGTCCGTATCATCACTTATTCACTTTCATTTAGTTATGTTATTTGAGATAATTTTGATTTAAGCGAAAAAATAACTGGTAGTATAGCCGAGCCCGTGACATATGAATCGCCAGCTAAATTATCAGTTATTTCCCGGATTGGCTGTATAATACAACTTAGGTTTTTTAACACGATAATGTCTGATTCTTGAAGAGCTAAATTTTTATATCCACCATTTTTATATGTTCGTAGGAAACTTGTGAGTCCAAGTTCTTGTTCAATAATAACATTAATTAATTCCAACATTGAACACCAACGCGTTTTTGAGTAAGATGGAAATTTTTTATTTGGTAAGTTAAATTTTTCCTGAACTTTTCCCATTTCTYKAACTGCCTTCCAACTATGGGCAAATATATTATAGATTAATTTGACTTTATGGACTACATCTTTTATCTCGTCCATATTAAAGATGCGTGAAACTGCCGTGTTAAGAGCATGGCCAAAACAAGCTACATGTGGTATATTTAAATTGCGTACAGCCTTTAGCATATTAGATCCATAATCAGTCACTATCGAACATATTTTCCTATCCGGTATCTCATAATCTAAAAACAGCATTTGAACTACATGGGCTATATTATTCTCCCCAGTGTGGTTTTCCGACAGTTCAATGCAACACAAACAGGCTGAAGTTAATTTGAAATTATCGTTGTAAAATGGCACGTGAGACCAATAAACGGTTGGTTTGAACTTGAAGTCCAGCAGTCCGTGGTAAAAGTAAAAACGTCGGCGCTCCTAATTATGTTCCCTATAATGTTACGTGTTTCACTATACATAGACGGAATTCGGGATTCTGTAAGAGTTTTTCGACCTGGTAGCTTGTAGCTAGGATTTAACGCATTTACAAATAGTTTGAATCCATCCTTTTCCACTAAACTGTAYGGCATCATATTTGTTGCAATGAAATAGGCAAGTGCATTATCAATTTTGATTTTTGCACTTTTATTCAGAGTGAATTGCGTCATTTTCATTTGTTTAGTTAGAGTTGAATTTGTTTTGTGAACAATGGCTATTGATGAGGGGTCAGTAATAGGAGACGAATAAATACATGAATCAGTTAAATCTGATTGACCTAAATCTGGTTCATAATTTGAAGTAGAAGGTTGTGATATCAATGAATTTGATTCCTCAATCTCAGACCTAATAAAAATATTATGAAATAGGTAAATGTATATTTAGACATTTTTATCTTTAATTCAATTTAACAAAAAAAAGGGRGTCAAAAAGATATCGCTCCGCTGTACAGTAGATTACAATTACGTCACTGTATAATGGATGGTAAAAAATTTAATYGGTCTTCATATTTATATTTTTTAATAATTTTTGTTGCTTGACCTGAAGTTGTTTTATTCCGTTTTAATGCTTTTCTATACATGTCTCTCAAATTATTCCAACGGTTTTTGCATGTTGCAACTAAAATTAAACGAAATCGGAACATTTGTATTCGTGTTTAAAGAAGAAAGTGAAATACAATTTTTATTTAAACTTCAAATGTCTATAAAAAAATTGTACTAACATATTTTTAAATCTTTTGAGTTCAGTAATAAATACTAATGAGAATTTTAAATTCTGAGTGGAGCGATGAATATATTRATTTTACAGTGGTCAAAATATACYAGCTATACCTGGTATAATATACATATTATATAATAATAAGTAGTGTTTGAAAATTTCATGAAATTTAAAAAAAATGAAATATTTCAATATTTTAATAAATTTTGTTTTATTTTTAAATAAGTTTTATATTTACATATATTGTCATAAATTACCTTCATAATTGTTTGGTACCTAACCTGTATTATACATTTAAAATGGTACTCAAAATTTTTAAATAGTTTAATGTTTAAATGATACAAGTAGGTATTTATTATTATACATGTATATTGTATACATACTGAATTCTGACATTAGAATTTAGAATACTCAACATTGTGTTAAAAAAAAAAAATTGTGTTTTTATTTGTGTAAGAAAAAATTTCAATGTTTCACGTTTTTGTGAAATATTTCATACATCAAACTATAGGGCTGGCGGTATTTAAAATTCTGATACCGGTATCCGGTATTTGTTTACTACTGGTATATACGGTATTACCGGTTATACGGTANATCCAATTGGTCGGTTGTGTAGATCATAAAGAAGAATTTTCTAAAGCCATTGTGCGATTTTTTTTAATAATGCGCATGTGTTTTATTGTCAAAAGAGCCAATTATAAAGATACGATGACTAGCAAAGAAAAAACAAAAAAAAAACAGGAAAGTATCTAAACTGTAAATAATAATAAAAATTATATTGTAAAATAATTATGTAAACGTGACGGTTAGGTTAGGTTCTTAAAGATAAATTTGCGCTGAATACGATGGTGTAATTCTAATTTAAATACGATTATTATTTTTTTAATTATAATTTTTTAATTTAACCGCCACGCAGACTGGTGGAGAAATTAGTGTGCGATGTTTTATAGAACCAATTTTTGTGCAGGCGGCCAGCAGTGTTCGGCCTCCTTATCTCTAGTCTTCATGCATCAAACTATAGGGCTGGCGGTATTTAAAATTCTGATACCGGTATCCGGTATTTGTTTACTACTGGTATATACGGTATTACCGGTTATACGGTATTTTTGGTAATTACCGAAAATATCAGTAATTATCGGTATACCGAAAATAATGCCAGCCCAACTAATAAGTAAAATATTAAGGTTTTTTAGCCAGTGATTGTTTTTTTTTTATCGATATAAGGTACAGACAGCCGGGGATATGACAAATAAAAAACTATATAATAAAAAAAAATTCGCTCCACTCATAATCAAAAAAACTTTTAAAATGGCATTAGTATAATATATTATTATACATACACTATCTCTATTGTTTTTAATGTATATATTATATATATATCTTTTTTTAATAACAGATATTTAGCAACCGGAGATTCAATGAAAACTATTTCGTTCAGCTATCGTTTAGGTCTTTCTACTGTATACCAAATCATCATAGAAGTATGTTATGCAATTATTGAAATTGTTATGCCAGAAGTTATGCCTGTTCCAACTGAACAAAAGTGGAAAGAAATCGCATYAGAGTTTTRGACTTGCTGGAACTTCCCCAATTGTTTAGGTGCTATCRATGGCAAACATGTTACAATTCAAGCTCCTCCTAATAGTGGATCACAATATTTTTGTTATAAAAAATATTTTCTATAGTTTTATTAGCATTAGTTGATGCTCATTATAATTTTATAACTGTAGATGTGGGAAGTTTTGGTAAAAATAGTGATGGAGGCATCATGGCCCATTCAAAATTAGGGAAAGCTCTTGATCAAAATAAACTGAATGTACCACCAAAAGAAGCGTTGTYAGGAACTACAAATGATGTACCGTACGTTATTGTAGGCGATGAAGCCTTCCCATTAAAAACGTATTTATTGAGACCCTATCCCGGAAAACAGCTAGATTGTAATGAAAAAAGAGTATACAACTATCGTCTATGCCGGGCAAGACGAGTTGTGGAAAATGCATTTGGTCTATTATCACAAAAGCTTAAAATATATAAGGTTTGTTTCAACMCACGGTCAAACTATCATCGAACTGCCGGGAGCATGCGCAGTAGAATTTTTCCGTTCCAATTCGTCTGAAACGCAAACTCAAACTGTCAGATGGTTGTTCCAATACGTTATTAGACCAGTTGTGTGACTGGTTATTGACAGTCAAAACGATCCGCGGATTTTGACCGGACTGGGAGTCCGAGACACTGTTATCATACATTTATTTATTATTTATGTTATCAATTCGGTTATTTGTATCAGTCGTTCGCATTTGAATTTTAATTATTATAATTTTTTAGTTAAAATACTAATCTAACAATATCTAATACTAATCAAACAATGTCAATGTTAATCATCAGAAAAGTGTAACCTTTTTTCTTTTAAAACATGAATTGTCATCYTCTACTACAACCAGTGCAAAAACATCAAACTCTACACAGTGATTAGTGATTGCTAACGAAAGTATCACGGTTGACAGTAAGTTAATATCTATTATTTTATATTTATTTTATTATATAGTTAATTATTCTTACCTAAATAGTTTTTTTTCATTTGTCAGATACCTATATCCACAAGTTTAATAATCAAATGTTATCAACTTATATAGGTAGTTTAAATGAACAAATGTGGATAATTGGAGTGGGTAATCAAACAGGTTTTTAATTTTATCTAAATGAGGAATAGGGATAATGGTTGTTGCTTGTTAACTAAGATGTATATATTTTAATGTTAATAAAATAAATTAAATGTTCATGTATATATTGTAGTAATCATACAAATTCAATGCTAGGGGTAAATTATGAAGTATAGTTAAGGTAAATTATGTTAGTGTTGGTTTTTTTGTCAGTCAAGCAATTTTATACCAAGTATCTGGAAATGATTAAAATACACAGTTTGGTGAAGTTTGGTTATTTTATATTCATAAACATTGATGTAAATAGTAATTAATTATTATTACAAAATAGTAATTAATAGTAATTAACTCATGTTTCAACAAAGGGTAGGTTAGACTTTTCTTTTTCTTATTTTTGCCCACATAATATGTAATATATTAGTGTTACGTTTTAATGTGTATACAATTTTTTTTTAGATACACAGACACAGAGCTCCTTGACCACTCATTGAAGTTTAAAATTTATACGTTT